TGTGTCTTATCTGGAAGCTGCTGGTGCTTGACCCCCAGCAGCGCCTGGCCGCCTCTGACGTCCTGGAGGCCCTCAGCGCCATCATCGCGTCCTGGCAGTCCCTGTCGTCTCTGAGTGGGCCTTTGCAAGTGGTTCCGGACATCGATGACCAGATGAGCAGTACTGACAACCCCCAGGAGGCGAAGGTGACGGAGGAGTGCTCGCAGTACGAGTTCGAGAACTACATGCGGCAGCAGCTGCTGCTGGCCGAGGAGAAGAGCTCGGGCCACGAGGTGCGCAGCTGGCTGCCCAAGCGGCAGTTCGGCAGCGTGCCCCCCGTGCGGCGGCTGGGCCACGACGCGCAGCCCATAAACCCTTTGGACGCAGCCATCCTGGCACAGCGCTACCTGCGGAAATAGTGGCCGCCAGCCGCCTCTGCCCTGCCCCTGGCCGTTGGGCCCGGGCTGCGCCGGGGACAGGGACAGCCCAGGTCACAGACGGGGTCAGCAGAGGTACCACGAGGCGACCTTTCGGAATGATTGCTTGATTGTTTGGTTTTTAATCTGAGAAACCTAGATAACTAATCTGCTTTTGATCATGACGTTTTAATCTACCTCTGTCTCTCTTAACCATGCTGTCTCTGGACTGAGTGAGAGGGAGGTGGCGGCAGCCCACTGCCTGGCCAGGGCCCGACCCAGCGCCCGGCCCGCCCGGCCCAGGGCAGCTGCTCCCCACAGTCCAAATAAGCTGAGGGGCAGCGGTTGCTGCTTCCCAAACGATGCCGCGTCTCATTGCACCCAGGCCCCTGCCACCCACCCTCTGGCCCCGGAACCCTCAGTCCAAGCTTTGGAAAACCTTCACCTCATCTTAAACTGAATTCAAATATATTTATTTTTGTACTGAAACCAGCTTCTCTCCTGTCTGTAGGAGGCCCAGGGCTGCTCCCTGCCCCAGCCTGACCGGGAAGCATGGGGTGTCAGCCCATGGCCCCAGATGGGTCCCCTCCCCAGGCCCCAAGAAGCCCCCTCTTGCCGGCCACTCCACTCAGACCATCAGTCCCGCTTCCTGTCCGGTGGCGGGCGGCCTCTCTACACTTGGTTCTTCTTCCGGCTCAGCAGCTTCTCTGAGGTGCTGTCCACTGCGCTCCCTGGTTTCCCCCATCCGGCCCGGTCCCGAGGGCGCATTGACGCTACCATGTGAAGGGCCAGCACACACTTGTCTCCCCTGCTGTGTTCAGAGGACGATCCCAGCAGACCCGCCTGGGCGCTCTGGAGTGAGAGCCCAGGGACCCTCTCCTTGGCTGGCTTGAGAACAGCCCTGCTGCCCTTTTTGAGCCGAGTTTTTGTTTTGTTTTGTGTTTTGAAGTGGATGCCCATCTTGCCAGAAACGCTGTTCTCACCAGAATGCTCTCCCATCCCTACCCTGCCCAGTGCCCAGCAGAGACCCATTCCCAGAGGTTTCCCTGGCAGGACCAACCCCTGCTACCGACCTTCGCTCCCCAGTGGGGCAGTGCCCAGGGCCTCCGTGGCCATGTTCCCCAGAGTGTGAGCTGCCTCCCCTCAACGCTGACTCACTGTGAGTGACCTTGGGCAAGTTCCCAAACTTCCTGTGCCTCAGTTTCCCCATCTGGAAAAAATGGGGCCACCTCTTGCCAGCAGTAGCAGGGCCGCCCTCGCCCCTTCCTCCCATGCCCTTCCTCCCAGCACGTGGGCGGCTCGCACCTCTGCCTCAGTGGGTCTGGGGGAGCCCACCCGTGCACAGCACTTCTCCCCTGAGCGCCAGCTCTGCCTCGGAGCCAGGGGACCGTGCTGGAGGGGCAGGGGGGCCTCTTTTCTGTATTTATTTCAAAAAGAAAATTCTCCTAAGGGAATAGAAAAGCAGTCTGGCCTAGGGCGCCCATCCCCTGTGACTCCTGCTGGGAGTGTCTGAGAGGGCCAGCAGCTGCTTCCTGGGGCCCAGGGCCCACCTCCAGGTGTGGTCTCCCCTCCTTTTCAAAGCAATACCCCCGTCTGCAGAGCGCGGCCAGACAGACTGGTCCCGCCCAGGCTCGCGTCTGTCTGCATCTCGGCACAGCTTTGCGAAGAGGCGGGGCCTGCCCTGGCTGTCACATCCTGAGAGAAGTCCTATTATAAAGAAACAAAACGGAAAAAGTCACAAAAAAGTTTGTATAAAGACATATTTTTGTACTACATGGGGGCTCTTCCTGCATGTCAGCAATAAATTTCCTGATCTGGAGCCGCTGCGCCTACTGCCTTCTCCATTCTTGCACCCCTCCCATCCCAGCCGCAGCGCGGTCCCCAACTCGGAGCTCTACAGCTCTTGGCACTGCTACCAGGTGCCTGGATGTATTGCCCCCCACCCCACGCCCTCCAGCAGGGGCACCTGGTGTGAGCTGGGGAGGAGTACCCAGCATCCTCCCCGAGCCACTGGTCCAGTCTCTTAGCCCACCTGGGAGTCCTGCTGGGTTTGGTCTAGCCCCAAGGAGGTGTTCTTGTTAACACACACAACTCACAGCAGCAGCTGCTGCTAAAGAATACTGCTCCTATCCCAGCCCAAGCCCTGCTGGGTGGAACTGGGGGACCAGGGTAGACTTGGGACTACCAATCTGCCTACTACCCACTAGGGCAGCTGGGGGAAAGAGAATGGCCAGGCCGGCCTTTTCTGTCCCATCTTTTCCTCCCCGTCTTTCCTTAGGACGCCAAAGGCTTTCCTTCCTTCCTTCCGCTAAAGTTAGACTGCAGACTGAACTTCCTGAGCAGTGAAGCTAGAGGCGGGCCAGCCCTGGCCCTGCACGCCAGCGCGGTGCAGACCCACGAGGGTGTGGGGGAGCCTGGGAGGACGTGCACGCCTCCATCGTCGGGCTTGTGTTCACAGTGTCCTGGAGCCCCCAGGCCCAGATCAGAAAAGGAGCAAAACTCACACAGGCCACTCCTGTCTAGGGTCCCCCAGCAAGACAGGGTGACTTCTGTACAAGCTGGGATTCTAGTTCTGATTCCCACGCTGCCTCACCCCGATCCCAGCAGCCAGGTGGGCGTCCCTCTTGCAGACCACCCCCCATTTCTGGTTGCAATTTGCCCACTACACCTGGCCCCCATGACTCATTAACTGCCGTCTTGTGGTGGCTTGCATGTGGCTGTGATGCTGGAAGCTGTGCCACCAGTATTTCAAACGCCAGCAGAGACACTTCAGGTGGACAGGGTTTAACAGAGCTGACTACCACAGACTAGCAAGAGGGGCCTGGTCACCGACTTCTGAACACCCAGCCAGTAAAAACACTGCCAACTATGCGATCACGGGGTGTCGAAGGGATCAGGTATAAGGCATCATCAGAACAAAAAATCTTACCATAGTGAATGATGGGGGGAGTGCGGAGTGGAGATCCAAAGTCCATTAGTAGGCCACTGGAGATCCCCTTGCAGAGGGGTCTCGGGGAGGAGACAAGCCAGTCAGGGTGCAATTTAACAACAATGAAAAATACAACTTTCCTCTAGTTCCTAAATGTTTCCTCCCCGCTCCCACTACCATGATTCGAATTCGATTTTGCAAGTCTGGCTAAACCAGAGGATGTACACTGGTACAGATAGGAACTGAAAATACAGGGAATCCAGGGTGGATGAGCCCTACAGGACCAGTGGTGTGAGTGGCAAAACAGGGAGGGTAAAGGAAGAGTGGGTAGGGAAGAGGGAACTGATTACAAGGAACGACAGCTGATGACCTCCCTGGGGGACGGACAACCGAAAAGTGGGTGAAGGGAGACGTCGGACAGGGCAAAATATGACAAAATACCAATTTATAAACTATCAAGGGCTCATGAGGGAGGGGGGAGCGGGGAGGGAGGGGAAGAATGAGGACCTAATGTCGGGGGCTTAAGTAGAGAGGAAATATTTTGAGAATGATGAGGGCAATGAATGTACAAATACACTTTACACAATTGATGTGTGTATGGATTGTGATGAGTTGTATGAGCTCCTAATAACATGATTTTAAAATTAAAAAAAAATAAAATCACTGCCAAGAGCACTTGTCCGAGGTGACGTCGTCAGGTTGGGCGCACTCGGAATACAACTGCAGAACAGCTGCTTTCTCGAGGGAGCGCCCACCTTGATGGCAATGAAAGCTAATGTGTCACCTTTCAAGAGAAGAAACGGCTACGAATATCCGCTATTTTTTAAAAATCGTTTATTAGGGGCTCTTAGCACAATCCATAAATACATCACTTGTGTAAAGCACATTTGTACATTCATTGTCCTCATCAGTCTCAAAACATTTGCTCTCCACTTAAGCCCCCGGCATCAGCTCCTCATTTTCCCCCTCCCTCCCCGCTCCCCCCTCTCAAATATCCACTATTAACCAGACCGTGCTTGGTGCAGAGTGGATCTGGGAAAATGGGAGTTGGTCACAGGAAACGGCACACACACACATCGGTGTCTGGGGCAGAGGGGGTGAAATGGGCTGTGTTGGCATGCTTGCATCCCCACTCGGGACCTTAAGGCCCTTGCTCAACATGCGAAGCAACCGCTACAAATATCCACTCGAATTGAATATGGATTATGTGAAGTTTGACTCCAGGAGAATTCAGTGTCTTCAAAAGTGAAATGAGGCGTGAAGATGGGCATCCAGGCAATGTTAGGGGCCATGGAGTCGGTTCTGACTCGGCGCCCGTGGGGAGCAGAGCAGAACACTGCCTGCTTGACCCGGTGTCTTCTGGGAAAGCGTCTGAGCACATGCGGAGGTCTCGCCATCCTCACGTCCGGGGAGCATCCTGGCTGTACTTCTGAGACCCATCCATCTGTGCTTGCTGAGTTGCACGCACAAGTGAGCTGTTTTGACTGTTTTCAATTGGACAGGCATGTGGTTCACTATGTCAGGAATGACAGAAGAGAAATGATCAAAAAGAACATGTTAAGATCCATTTTGAAGTACATACTGTCAGCGATAGGACAGGGTAGTATACATATGCCCACAAGGAAGACCAATTAAGATACCTCTTCAAATTTACATGCCAGTTGCTAATGGCAAAGATGAGGAAACGGATAACCAGTTTCTGAGATGGATCAAACGTGATCACGATTCATTGATGATTAGAATGTGAACACTGAGCACAAAGAACCATCAGTAGTTGGGAAAGAATGGCCTTAGTGACAAATTACTCTGGAGAGCACACGGTAGGGTTCTACAAGATGCAGGACTCGCATAGCATAAACCTTTTTCCAACACTGTATGGTGGCTATACACATGGGCCTTGCTGTGTGGAATACACAAAAACCAACCAAGTACATTTGTAGAGAGGATGGAGACGTCAGTAACGTCCGTCAGAGCAGCCAAGGCCCGACTGCAGCCATCTCGTAAGTTCAAGTTGAAGCTGAAGAAAACTAACTAGTCCACGATGCACACACGTTCATCACAGCATTATGCACA